GATGTCCTTAGGAAATATTTTTTATTTTATAAAATCACTGCATAACGTGTTTGTTATTATGAAATATATTATATAAATTAAAATAAAACAATATTTGTTGTTTATTGAGATTACTTTATATTAAAAAAATCAACGTATTAATATTAAGTAATAAATTACTGAACACGAAATGTTAATTATTTGGAAATTTCTTACAATTCACTTAAAATAATTAGGGATTTTAATTTTTTTATGACAATTTAAATTCTTTCAAGTAATAAAAATATTTAACACAAACATAAATGTTTATTGTCCACCAATAAACAACAATAATGTACTTAAAATAAGTATTTGATTGCTATTTATTTTTACAGGAACTATTACTGTGGCATTTGGAGTTGCATTTTATATTCTTGGAGCGACACTTGCACTTTTTATCAATACAGTATCTTTTGCAGTGGCACATTATAAACCCTTGCTTACTTCCAGATGATAACATAGATGCTGAGCGGAGTGTTAACGACGAAGTTCGTTACAACCTGTCCGTCGTGATATGGTTAAAACAATGAATGCTCAGAACGCATCATGGCTTTTCTTCATTGCCACAACGCGTTGAGATCGAATAGCATGTCAGCCACGACACGAATTTCGCTATTTGGTCTTTCTGTGATTGCCACAACGCGTCGTGCGCGTTTTCATTAGAGCCATAACACGAATTTCGCCATGTGGATGTTTTACTGTGACCACAACGCATTGAGAGCTATTTTTCCGCTCACTGAGCGTTTTCGATCTTTGAGCGTAACATATACATACATAAAGATTTTTAGTCACCGTTAAATTTTTTTTCTAGGCGTTAGACATCTTTTGTAGAGCCTTTATTTGAAAAAAAAATAGGTAGATCAAGTTTTCACTTTGAAACACTTGATATTTTTTTAGTATGACGTACACTTTATGCATAAATAAATGAATGAGTTTAGGTAAGGGAGGGCGACGACGCGGGAATAATGACGTTACCTTCCATGAAATCTTTATATTTCAGACAACTTCTCACTAAATAAAGCAAATCAGGGTCATCACAACTTAGATGGCAAAAAATATATAAAATTCTTATTTCTCACCAAGATACTGCACATTACTTCGTAATATTATGAGTAATATTTTTTAATGGCATAAATTACCAGAAACACTGATAAAACTTCAATATTTTGACAAAAAAATGGAAAATAGTTATAAAGCTCAAATTTATTACTTGACAGCCGTATAATCTATACAGTTCAGATATTAGAAACATTTCTTCAATTTTGAACTAACTTTTCAAATAAATTTGTCAATTATTGTAAAACATGTTCCTTTAGATTGATGGACATTTGAAATCGATTGCATAATGTAAGCCGACCCCGTGTGAAAGTTCGGTATTCCTTTCTACAGTAGAAACATAAAAAACGACAGAAATATTTTTATTTTATTTCATGTAATAAGTGTCTATAGCATTTATTGCATTATTTATAAATAGCAAGTTTTTTTTTTGTTTACACATGACATGTTCCTTGGAATAAGACATTGCACATTAGATTACAAAGATTGGGTAATTTTCAAGACACTACTATATAATTAAATTGCCGAATTGTTTCTAAATTGCTTAGAATATAAAATTAAGTAGTATCTCGAAATGGAAAACATATATATAAAGTTGTCTAGTTTAGAAAGGTTATTAATATCTGCCTGTCACTGGTTGCTAAGCAACGCCTTGTTAGTAAACATTCCTCATCCAATTTGGCTGTATATGATATACTTTATCGCAACATTTTTGTACTGGGAGGTACCAAAATAAAATATATGTGTTCCTTATTTTTCCTGTCATCAAGAAAAATTATTATTATCAATTATTATTATTGGTATATTATTAATACATAATTAAACTCCTTCTTAAATGATAACTGATGTTTTATTTACAATATTTGGCATCGATGGGAATTCACAGAATAATATCAGAATATAATTATTTCATCATATTCTGTAATCATTAGCGTCCTACATATTATTAGATCCTTATATATGAAATTGGCGATTTGTCGTACTGGCCACTTTAATCACAAAAATTTTCCTCCTTGGTTGGGAATTCCAAATTCAAATTTATACAGCCATTTACACATGTATTTGTGTTTCGTTAGGCGGCATTCATTTGGTTTTTTTTTTCTTCTGTTCTGTTTTTTTCTCCTATTTACGTCACCCAGTTTAAAAAATGGAAAACTTGAAATATCCTGTTATTTACGAGTACGAGTTCCACCGTGGTACCAGTGCTGCGAAAACGGCTCGAAGGGTTAATGATGTGTATGGCGGTTGTGTAGTAAAATAAAACACAGTGCGTTTTTGGTTCTAACGTTTTCGTTCTGGAAATTTCGAACCTGCAGACCAAGCCCCGTGGACGGACCCAAGTTAATAATGAAGAGTTGAAGGTATTGTGGAAGCGGATCCATTGCAAACCACGTCCGAGTTAGCTGCAAGCTGCGTTGTTAGTGATAAAACTGTTTTAATCCACATGAAGCAAATTGGAAAGATTAAAAAGCTTGAAAGGTTGATACCTTACTAACTGAGTATAGCAAACCGGCAAACGCGCTTCGACTGCTGCGTTACATTACTTTACCGAACCTATAATGAAGGGTTTTTAAATCGAATCATTACCTGTGATAAAAAGCGGATTATCTACGATAATTGGAAGCGCTCCTCGCAATGGCTGGACCCTGGCATGCCAGCCAAATCCTGCCCCAAGCGAAAATTGACCCTAAAGAAGTTACTTGTAAGCGTTTGGTGGACTAGTGCCGGTGTCGTTCATTACAGTTTTCTCAAATCTAGCCAAACGATTACGGCAGACGTCTATTGTCAGCAATTGCAAACCATGCTGGAAAAACTAGCTGTTAAACAACCGAGGCTAGTCAATTGCTCTACGCCACTGCTACTTCACGACAACGCTAGACCCACACACTGCACAACAGACTACCAAATAAGAAGAGCTTCAATTGGAATGTCTAAGACATCCACCGTACTCCCCGGACCTTGCTCCAACAGTTTACCTTTTTTTTCGAAATTTGGATTACTTCTTGCAAGGGAAAAAATTCAACACCGATGAGGCAGTGCAAATCGCCTTCAAAAATTTTATTGATTCCCATCCGAAGTTTTTTAGTTAGGGGATCAATGAATTACCTATGAGAAAATGGTTTATACTTTGATTTAATAAATATATTATACTAAAAAATTTCATATGTAAAGACCTAATATTTTACAAAAACTACTTATACTTTATCTATGGTCTTTTATTCAAGAGAATATATTGAATATTTTGAAATCCACCAAAATACTTGGTTACAAAAATGAAAAGCAAAGTGTGATATATAACCCAAAACTGGAAAACCACACTATTGAACATGGCATACACAAATATAACGTCTATTAAACTCCAGAAAATAAACCCCAGTTTCGCTAAATTGAGTGATCTCGGTGTCCTTCGGATAGGGTGCTTTCCTGTACTTGCATCTAAAAAGTTTCCTGAAACCAAAACGAAAAGTAAAATTAGGTTCTGTTATTTTAATTTAACTCCATACCTTTCAAAATAATTAGGGTTTTAGTTTTCTCTACATAATATATTTTGTGCCTCGAGGCACAACAATTTCACCAGCTAATTTCTTATGTTTCTCGATCATTCGAATATTTTCTTTAAAAATATTTTACTGGTGTGTGAAATTTTCAAAATTATAAATCAGACCTGGGGTACTTGTAACCAGAGATTAAATGCAGTGTATTAAAATATCTTTTGTTTTTTTTTTTTAAAGATTAAGTAACATCTGTTACTATGTTGAATAAATTTTAAGCCTAAATGCCTACATAATAATTAAGGGCTCATATCTGCAGATGCCGACGCGAATAGTAAGATTTTTTATGTTTTAAAAAACAAGAATTTAATAAAAGATCATAATTTTTTGGAAACATATGAATATATGATTACATTTCATATGTTCCACATTCTAAACATCCCTAAATCTATAAATAAGTTGACATGCATAGATAAAAATATTTTATGCGACCGTTTTAAAAATTTGTGTTAAATGGGGGTTAATATAGACCACACAAAAATAACAAATTTAGTGTGCTCTAGAATACGATTCTTAAAAGTTCATGATCGATTTCTTAATAACAATGGGGGAAAATATCAATGTTTTATTTCACTTCTCTCCTTTGAGAGACAAATTCTTTGCTACTATTAATTAAATAGAAAATTGCCGTTTTAATTACCTTAATATATCTATTATATTGTTTTTAGAGAGTGTTTGTATGTAAATGTGATGTTAAATGAGGTATATTGTTATTTCGCAAGACAAAGTGAACATGAAACTGAAAAAAACATTGATTCGATGAAATAATATGGGGCGTGTGAAAAAATGTTCCGGATATTTAGTATGTCACTGCGAAAGGTATCTTTTATGTGGTAATTACTCTCCGTTATTTGATTCAATTGGTTCAAAATCTCCAAAAAAGGATTATGATGTCGAACCCCAACCTTTAGTGACAACAGAAGATTAATATTATGCAAATGACTAAGTACTGCTGTTGCTGTATATAAATTGTAGTACATTACCTACGTCTTGAAATTATCGTAGGTATTAGATTTAGAGACTTGTTTTCTGTAGAATTGTATGAAGAACACAAATATGATACATAACTAATTATGTAAGCGGTATATAGGTAATTATAATTACATTTTTTATATAATAGTGCGTATAAAAATTCGGATCAATTCAAAACGCCACTAGTTACACTTACAGGTACAACTTTTTAGTGAATTAAATATTGATAGGTATATTCTAATTGTGACCTTTAATTTGGTCATTTTGTTATAGAAACAATACTTCACGGATTCGACTACTTCGGGCACCGTCAGCAAGGAAACTCTCTATAAGTGAGTTTTCAAATATTTTAACCTGTTTTTAATATTTAATCACTAAGAACTGTGAAATACGTAATAATTATTACTTACCTTCAGCATGAAAGTGTCGGAGACTAGACTCCTTCTCCTTCCACCGTTGATTGAGCCACACTCGTAAATCATGTTCTTCTTGTGGTAGTTCTTCAATCGGATACCTGAAAAGTAAAATTTAATTCCATAGGTATTGATTATTATTAACATTGAAAAAGGTTACAATGAAATGTGTAATGGTTTTTCTAATACTACCATATACGTGAAAAGGTGAATTACAAGAAAACAAAATTAAATAAGTCCACAGAAATGGAAATCGCTTAATTATAGGTATTAACAGATTACAAATAAGCATAATTATATTACCGCTTAAAGTAAAAGTATACATTTTTCGGCCTACGACCACGCATTAAAGCGATCTCTGTCTGCGCGGGCGCATCATACGCCACAGTGACGTCATACACAGACGCCAGACCTGCGCTACGCAACCGCAAGCACAATTCCACCCAGCCAGTGGTTCGGGGATGTAATACAAATTTATAAGCCTGTAAATAAAACAATAATTACACCTTTATTGTTGGCAAATAAAAGCGTTGCCAAAATGCGTAATTCAGAAGTGTCGTTTGATCACGAAAATAATTTTCATTTAAAAAAAACTACAGTTTCGCCAGAGATCTTTTATAGACAAATCAAGGAAGCCCATACTCGATGTGGTTGCGGTATTTAAGTACAAAATTCCCATGTTAATTTCTAGTTCCATCATTAGACGCTTATTCCGGACAAAAATCCTTGACAAGACAAATAAAAAGACAATTATAAACTTTTTAAAGGATGAGCTAAACAGTGAATCTTTCATTATATATTCGATAATTTTCTAATAAAATGATGCACAATTCAAAATGATCAGAATAACTAACAGCTGAATTGAATAGAAATTCCTTAGGTAGAAACACAGTGGGGGCGACGTTCCGAGAAGTTCCTTAGTGGACAGCGGATTACGAGAGCGGGTAATAGATTCTTTAGCGTATGAGTGAACACACTAAGAGCGGTGCTTCAACTGTATATGAATTTTAATATTATCAGCGTTCAAAACATTATTTTTACATAATAGGACTAACGAAAATTGTAAATATTAGCTATGAATGGACGAATTAAATACGAACAGTTAAATTATTAGTCGCTGCATATTTCTCACTGCGACGTTGGTTTTCTTCGCTCAGGTCTGTTCCCTCTGGAAATAAAATAAGCCTGTAGCGACTACCCATCTTTTCATAGTAGTCTGCAAATTGTGTGAAGTTCAACCGGTCTTCTTGCCAGTTTCTTTTCAGGTAAAGAAAATAATTCAGCTGCATTATCCACCCTGAAACAGTGACATATCTAAATATTTTTTTATCGATTAAGCGTTAAACAATGCCATGATTTTGTTTGCCCCAAAATTTCTAATATGTTCTGAATATTAAAAAATTCAGGTCATACAAAAATCATGGTAAAAATGCTCAACGCTTAATTTGTAAATATCAATTGCTACAAAAATGTATTTTCGGTTCATGCGATATGTCGGACGTAGGTTGTACCTATTGCAAAGGTAAACTATGATCAATAATTAAATCAGTTCGTAATTATAAACAGGTAAACGACCGCCTCTCTATACATGATTCTAACGATTAAACTTTTGCGTTGCATTATATTAAATTGTATAAGACGGGCATTAACGCGTTACATTTTGATAGTTAGTTTTTTCACCTACCTATATTTATAATCGGGAATATTTTAAATCTATCGCGTACCCGTCTTATACAATCTTAAATGATTCTAACCATAGAATATAACATCTTATCGGTAACTATTGTGGAGATATTTCATTTCATTTTACTACTTTTAAATGCAATTTAGTAACGACGAATGAACGATAAAGAATGAAGACTACAGATTTTGATAGTTGTGTTAGTAACTTTAACATTTATCCCAAATTTATCCACCAAAAGATATGTCAAAGTATCGTCATGAAATCGCTAAGATATCGTCATGTCCTATGGCTAAAATCGAGGCTGGAGAATTAGGCGGTTGCACCCTAGGTAATTACACAGGTCTTTCATCATCATCATCATCACTAGCCCTTTTACGTCCCCACTGCAGGGGCTCAGGCCTTCCTTATGGATGGTTGAGGAGGATGGGCCATGGCCCTCCACGCTGGCCCAATGCGGATTGGAGGGTATTGACGACTGCAAATGCAGCCGGGACCAATGGCTTAACGTGCCTTCCGAAGCACGGAGTAGCTCAAGATAATAATTTTTTGGTCACCCATCCCATGACCGACCCTTGCGAAAGTTGCACTACGCCACCGAGCCTCCCACTCACACAGGTCTTTAAATTTTTTAAATTAATAATATAATAAACTAATTGATTGACATACCCAATCCCGGTACTATCTTTAATTCATCTTTCAAAACAAACTTTATCTTTGATTTGCCTCTTGATATTACATCCAATATATCCCTTTTTTCCCGTAGTACTTTATTTTCCTTGCATGAGCAAACTTCCGCATCGGGATCTTGTGTCGCATGATACAAACCAATCCACAGATAATTCCAATCAATTCTTGTGCGGTGATTTAAAATAACTATCGTATTTTCATCTGGATTTACGTAATCTCCATAGTGATGTAACTGGGTATTACAACAACACTGAAACAATGCCTGAAACATTTATATGACATAAACTTTATACAAAAATTTTATACTAACAACTTATATAGTAGTTACACACAGCGTCTTACCACTGGATATAATTCCCAAAGAGCAAATAATACATCAACTAATTTTCTATACCACCTATGGTTAAAAAACATTATATAAATAACAGGACAATAGAGAATATAAAAACCTGAAATAAAACAATAAAATTACTCATTATCAAGAACAATTTTTCAAATATTATTCATACTACTTTTGCTTATAAACTTCTATTTAAAATTACCAAAACCAAAGGTTCACTGAACAAAACTCCATGAAATGGTAGTAATCTACCTTTTCACATAACTTTTTAGGTTATTAAATATTCTTAAAAAAGTACTATCATTTCTTACCGGCAACAATGGTATAATACCAAGCAATGCAGAGCAAGAGCCCTGCCGACATGGCGCTGAAGGCTGCAATGCCTTGTCACGAGGGAAGCCACAGTCGTGTCTACAGATTAGAGCCCCTACGTGACCCACTAAACCCTATTATATCATCCAGCTTAACACGTTATTCAACCGTTTAACAAGCTTGTATCTAGTCAACGTTAAAACAAAACTTCAGATATTGTCAAAGTCAATAATTTAATTGAGACATTTTCAAAAACAAGTAAATAATTATTAAGTAACATCAGTCGGGGTTTCAGAAACAGTGACGCGTTGTTCCCTTTGTCTCTTCGCAAACGCTTCGCCTTCTTCCACATTCATCATTAGTTCACAGTTCTTTGTTTCTGGTAAGAAAACGCAAAGGACCGCAGATATCAATGGAAATATTCCGAAAGCTAAGGGGGCACACCATTGGCCATATGGTCGAAAACCTGCTATAAATGGTGCAATCATGGAGCCTAGTCTAGCCATCATAGAAGATAAACCAATTGCTGCGTTCCGAACTACTGTTGGAAACATTTCTGAACAATACAAATACAAAATAATAAAATTCATGTAATTAAATAGTACACCGATAATTCCGAGAATGAGAGACGATTTGCCCTCAGGTACAACAGCTAATATTAATAAACAAAAACTTACTATAACATTCGTGAATATGGTAACGGTCTTACGATTCATAAATCTCATTACTGGTATAGTTATAATACATGCGGCTAGACAAACTGAACCACTCGCCAAAACATTAATAAATACATCCCCTGTTAAATAGCTTATATAAAGTGTCACTCCAAAAAAACAATAGCTGCATACAAGCCACGAGAATGACATAATTAAGACATTCCTTCTCATTTGTGGGGAGCGGAATAAATCGAGTAGTGATCCTTTCTTACGACCACTATTTCTATGTTGCATCTGATATGATTCGACCTTATCTTGAATATCAGTAGTAGGTAATCCATTACTGAAAATAACAATTAAAAGTAATTTATGTATTGTAGGTATATTTGCCAACATTTCTATTGTAATATTGTTAACATAGTCTTACACTTTAGCGATTTGCTGCATTAATGTTATAGCTTCGTTAGTTTTATTTACGGCAAGGAGCCATCTTGGCGTTTCCGGTAATATGCATATGTAAGACAGTAGTAAAATGTTTGAAACTGATATAGCCAGCAAGAAATACATATAATCTCTAATAAAATATCCGAACAGGGTCATACTCATGTATCCCAATGTAAAAGGTACATGGTATAGTGCCGCTACAACATCTCTGTACTGATTGCCAACGTATTCCATCACTATTACGAAACCAATAACCATAATACCTCCAACTGCTAATCCTAATATTGTTCTTACAGCAGTAAAACTCCAGTAATCAGGTAAAAAGGAACTCATTATTCCAAAGAATACTTCCATTATCACGGAAACGATAAGAGTGAGCCTTCTGCCATATCTGCAATTTATTACGGAATTAATCAGCAGCACATCATCGGCCTATTGATATCCTCACTGCTGGGGCTCAGGCCTTTCTTATGGATGGTATCTTTGTAGATGCAGCCGGGACCAACGGCTTAACGTGCCTTCCGAAGCACGGAGGAGTTCGAGATAATAAATTTTTGGTCCCCCATCCTAAGACCGACCATTGCAAAAGTAATTGAGAACCGTATCGCTCCGAATTGATGAATTAATCCGTAAGCATTTATTAGTTTCATTAATTATATTACTAGTTAACAAGATATGAGTGATAATAATTTTAGTCAATGTTATCAGACAACATTTCTACTTCTACCGTATTCGTAATGCCACTATCGTAATCGTAATTAGCTTTTAAGTCAATTAAGTAGGCAATTGAATGATAATTTTTCCGTCTTAAGTGCCGAGAATTAAACGTACTACATTATAATTTATAAACCACGAGGATAGAGTTGCTAAAACTTACTTATCAGATAATATTCCGAATACTAAACTCCCGATAAGAACTCCGAACTGAAAAGCCGTTTGCGTCAGATCTTTCAGCCAATCTCTATCACAAATTAGATTCCATTCCGTGATGATCGTTCTTGTATATTTACTTCTGTCATAGATTGGATTATCACAACAAGTAGCATTACTATCTGGACAGTGATAACGCACCGGTGGAGCCAAAAATATTATAGACATTTGTTGAAAAGCAACACCGACTTTATTTACAAATACTATAAAACATAATATATAATGATATTTACCAAAAGAACCAATAATTTCATTTACTAACATATTTCGATGAGCGAATCAATTAAAAAATAAATATGACCAATTAATCACAAAGACTTATCGGTGTCATTGAAATCCAGTAGGCACTGGTATTAATGGAACGTTCTCATTAACTTTATTGAATAAAGTAATGAGCTTCATAATTACTGAATATGGCAACAGTTTTTCTTATTCTTTTGTTTATAATGTCAGTAGAGTTGGCAGCCCTTTTTCCTTTCGGTGCCGTCCATCCATGTCTGTAAGCTGTGATAAGAACATACACCAAGACTTTCATTGCCTCGGCCACCCAAAAATAATCACAACATAGATAAAAAATAATTTTCAGTTCCGTGCACTCTTCTTACACATTTTATTTAATTTTTATTAATATATTTTTTTACTTTTAATATACTTATTGTGCCCTTTTAGCGCTTATAGCCCAAGAAGCCGCGACGACAGGATCGTCTATACTAATAATATAAAAAGGAAGGATTTTATTGTTTATATGTTTTCATCAAATACGCTTCGAAACTACTGGACCTATTAATAAAAAATCACCTACTGGGTAACAAAATCAGCTACATCAACACGGTTAATGTTTATAACTTACGCGAGCAAAGTCACAGGAAAACAGCTAGTCGATTTACTTGAAAGTATCTGTGCGTATGTGCCCTACACAAAATAAACGATAAGACCGACTAACTCTCTAGTTATAGTAACGAAATAATAATAGCTGCTAAGATTGATATTTTAGCGGCGATTATGACTATATTTCGTTTAATTTTACTGGTTATATATAGTAATAGCTAGAGGAATTACGCAGTCGCTCTATTAGGACTCTGAAATTGGGATGAAGGTAGGTTTAAATTTCCAAACGTCCTGTTTAATCTGATATTAAAACAGCCTGGAACTCGCCGTCGAATGCAACGTTGTTATAGCATTAAGGATCAATAAAATAAAAGGTACTTCAAATGTTAATAAATGATTTCGTGAAATACGTATAAACAATTTAAAAAATGTGTAGTAAATTTAATTAACTGTGAAATTCTCAATATAGATATTTTTTTTCTGTATGAATATTTCCTTTTTTTTTGCTACGAATATTATTTACCTTTGGGTGAGAAATATTACAGACCTTACTAAAACAAAAAACATTAACTAGCGTCGATTTATTTTATACGCCGTAATCTCTTCTAAAGGAACTATTCTATTTATAAGTAAAATAAATGAGAGCTGTCATAAAGCGACAATAATAAATAGATTTGATGATAGTTAATTGGGCTAATTAAGTATCCTATTAATATTATAAATGTGAAAGTTTCTTTATTTGGATGTTTGTCCGTCAATCACGCCGAAACTACTGAACGGATTTTGACGAAATTTGGTATACAGATAGGGTATTAGCTGACTTAGATACTAGATATACTTTTTATCTCACTAAACATTTCTCTGGGGTCCACGCGGGCGAAGCCGCTGGCGAAAGCTAGTACATAGATAATAAATGAAAAAAAAAGTATTGTCAATATAACTTAATTTCATTGTATTTGTAAACAAACATAAATGCCACAATATACAATATACCACAATATACTATAGTTGAACTCAAGTGCCTACAATAGAAATGTTACATAACTAAAGATGAGATTAGATTTAAAATTGCAGTTGAACAAATTGTCCGTTTATTTTCCTCCATTTATATGGCCCACTTATAAATACAAGGTTTTTCATTTCTATAGATCCTGTCCACGCAACATGACGCCACCGTGATGATTTCTATCCACATTATTCTTGGACATTAAAATATTTAATAAATTCTATTACTTATTATAAATGAATACTTGCTATACGCAAATTAAAGTCAATATATCATATTTGAATAAACCGAAGCTGAACATTACATTAAAAAACAAGAAAGGATAATAAATCTGACATAAACAGACAGTTAAGTTTTAATGAGAAAGAATGTAACTGATAATTATGTCGGAAAATAAACGATAGTAACTTTATGTGATCAATACCAATTACAAAGCGGGATGACAAAACGATATCGCCGAGGACACACTCTCAACTGCTCCCGGGCCGATAAACAACTTGATTGAGTCCAAAAGTTACAATTGACGTACCTATCAAAACAAAGACAGATCAATGCACTCTAAAACTTTCATGTAGTATTATACTTATCATAGGTAATTCCATTATTAACAAGTTAGCATCACAGTATATCTGTACTAATATTACGAATATAAACAGGATTTTATTATTTGTTTGTTTTTTATTTGCATGCTCTGAAACTACAGAATTCTTTCACATACGGGAAGCTATATCGTACGCGGATGACGTAGGATATAAATTTAAGCGGGAGAATTCGCAATAGTTAGTAGGTATAAAACACTTATACTGAAGTCTCCAGTAGTTTCGGAACCAATCAAAAACAAACAATTCCACTTTATAATACTAGTATTGATAAGTTATCTTTGATATCCGTTTGAATGAATTGTAAATGAGTCTCAATAACATTATATTTCTTGGGCAGAAGAAGAAGCGAGAATCTCTCAATACGTATCTGTTTCACTTTTTAATACTATTACAAGGTCGATCTCTCGAAACATTAACCAAAATGATAAGATTAGAAACAGAAGTAAACTAATATCATATAAATGTTTACTGCACATTAATTATGTTATTATATTACACCTCATTAAACTAGAACATTATATATTAAAGTGTGTAATCAATACTATAAAAAGAGTTTAAGCCACCTGTATTACGATTTTTAAAAACACCGTCATAAAATAATTAGTATTCCTTTTATAATTAAACTCGCTTTCCGCCAGCGGATCGTCATGTATCTATACATATAAAACTTATTCTTGAATCACTCTGTGTGTGGGTGAAATCAAAATAAAATCCGCTGTTACTTTAAAAGATCTCAGCGAAAAGCTAAGCGACTTTGTTTTATACATTTAAAGTGTTATTAATAATAAATTTTAAGTGTTGGAGTAAATTTTAAATATTAAACAGACTTAGCAAAGGTTAACCTAGTACGAGGTTCTCCGGAAGTAATATTTAGGTTTGATTATTCTCTGTATAATATGAACTCGGACTAATATTAATATTGCAATTTTATTGTAAATTTACTCTGACGCTTGTTTATTAATAGCACTGAGTATGTATAGATACCTACAGCGACAGTGAAAAGGAAATGTTGAATAATAATGTATATTAAATATTAGCTTTTGGAAACGAAAATCAAATTGTTTATGTAACTAGGTAAAATAAGCCATGAAAATCAACACAATAGATTTCATTAGTACTGACAAACATTACTCTAGTTACAGAAAAATAACAAGGGAATAAAGAGTATGTTAACCGTTTTGTTTAATTTTAAAATTCGGATACCTGAGTGAATTCGAATTCAGGTTTTGATTTTTAACATTCTGTTATTTATTTTATTTTTAATATTCGTCGTCTAGAAATTTGGATAAATTAAGAGAAAAATAACGTGTTTAAGAATTCTCAGTTTATTTTCTATACATATATAAAAGGATATGACTCAATCTCACTCAATCAGTATGACCGACAGACCACGCACAGCTTAAACCACTGGTCGTAGAGACTTGAAATTTGGACCGTATATGCTTCTCATTACGTAGAGTTGTACTAAGAACTGATTTTTAGGAATTCCACCTCGAAGTAAGTTAAAAATGGTGAAAACGTTTGTATGAAACTTCTTTGTGTTTGGACCTACATCGACGAAAATTAGTATTTGAGTAGTTTAAAACCCTGAGAAAGATATATTTTATCCCCAAAATCATCACATAAAGGGATGAAATATAGTAATGAGAATTGGTATTCGAGTAATTTATAATAAAATATTTCATTAATAATTAAGTTTTGTTCAAGGTTGAGTTGTAAAATTAAATGTTATAAGAACTTTAAGCTTTGCTATGCTAGATGGAGTAAAGTATCTAAAACTGCGCTGTCGTTTGGTTTTAAGAATTTTGCATAGAATTCAGTTTTAGATTAACTGTATTAACTGTAATGTTGTGGTGTATAATCCCCGTAAAATGCTAATGTGCCTGGCCGCCATTTTAATGACGTAATTGCGTTAAAAATCAGTAAAGTTAACAAATAAACGCTGGTTGACGAGTGCACTTATTGAGTTAGGGATAGAATATTTGCCCTCCGATTCTGTAAAAATCTGAACCAAAATTAGAACTCACTCAGGTGTTCCAATTCACTTCAAAAGCGCTATCCGCTCAACCTTGAATTGGTAATAAAGTTTCGTTGCACAAGTGAAGTGAATTTCGAAATGACACAGTGATAAAATATCCGAGACATACGTGCATAATTAATAAATTTTTAGAAATTTGATGTACAACTTCGAAAACAACAATAAACAAATTTACTAAATTTGAAATACAGGTTAACGATAACATAAATCTGAAAACTAAGTATGTATTTTGGCATATCAAATCGCGGACATATTGTAATCTTATTTATCAGACAACCTTAAGTATATAATAATCTTATGTATTATATATAATTTCAAGATACATAGTCAAGAAAGTTGGCAATTGACAAACCCCTAATATTTGAAAGTACTAAGCCTGAAAAATACAGTTACTAGATATTTAGATTAAAATAAGTATATTGGATTTTTACTAATTATAAATCGTGATCGTGATACATACAATACTCCTCCCAAAATTAATCAATTTGAAATTAGTGTACACACATTCTAGTAAATATCAACATTTATATTTAATTAAAGTTTGACATTTATTAACTATATTAAAAACTTATTTATATGTATTTACATAATATTCTATAAAACAAAACATATGCACATGCTTAATTTTGTAACAGCTTTATAACGTGTTTCTAGTTAATTATATGATTACGTATTTAATTATTATTTCAATAAAAGTTCAATATTAGCTATATATTTACAGTTGTCGTATGAATTTAAATATTTACAATTTATATTTATTTTATATCTATATTTATTCACAAACTTGAGTCGCAAACTATCACAATAGAGCTTGACCACAATAGGCATATTATATCTTATGATTTCAACTCATTTTTTGATACTATCTTTTTTCCAAACTGTTCACCTTCCTCTATAGTAGTCATTAATTTACAGCCTTTTGTTTCTGGCAATAGGAACGTCAGAGCGCCGGCAATAAGAGGCACTAATGCAAATACGAGTGGTGGTAGCCAGCGAGCATTCAAATTCAGATCTACAACAAAAGGAGCCACCATTGACCCCACCCTAGCCATCATCGACGATACTCCTAAAGCGGCATTCCTAACGACAGTTGGAAACAATTCTGAACAATATAAATAAGCTACAACGAAAACAATAAAACTAGTTACAACGCCTATACTTGCACAAACAACTGAGCCATGCCCTGGAGGTATAAATATTAGTATAATTAAGGAAATGGATGATACGAAATTAAATATTATCATAATAGTACGCCTTCCAACGGCTCTCATTAGAGGAATTGAAGCGAATGAGCCGAGCAAAGTAATGCCCGCGCTCTCTGCTACATTAGTAAAAACATTGCCACTCAGCTGTCCAACATATTGTGAAACTCCATAAAAGAAGTAGCTGCACGCCAACCAATTTATGGACATTACTATAATATTTTTTCGAATATTAGGGGTCCGAATAAGATCTAATATCGTCCCTTTTTTCAAGTTGTTACTATCCAAAGAATTCTGATATGCTTCCACATCTGTTTTAATATTAGCTGTAGGTAAATTATTTCTGAAACAAAAAAAGACAATTAAATATCTTTTGCAGTCCACTGCTGATCGTAGGCCTCGACAAGAGTGCGCCACAATAAACAATTCTCCGCTGCCTTCATCCAATGTAAATAATAAGATAAATAAATGTGGCTATAAGAAAATAAAATACCAATTCGTTAAATTATTAAACTCACACTTTAGCCACACGTTCCAGAATTTTCACAGCTTCGTCTGTTTTTTTAACTGCTATTAACCATCTTGGTGTGTCTGGCAATAAAAACAAGTATGATAACAACGCCAGGGAAGGTATGGATATTGCTAATTGAAATTTCGAATAATCTCTGAAGAAATATCCAAAAAGAGGCAGTAACATATGACCCAAATTAAATGGTACTTGATAGACGGCTGATATGATGTCTCTGTATTGTGATCCAACATATTCCATGACAATCACGAATCCAATAACCATTGTCCCGCCAACTGTTACACCTACAAATAATCTGATAATTGAAAAAGTCCAGTAGTTGGGAGCGAATGACGCTGCGATGCCTAAAGTTATTTGAGCAACTACTGCCACCAGCATCGGTCTTCTTCTTCCAAATCTAAAACAATAAAAATATTTATTATAACAACTCGCACACATTTTAGTTTACTTTTAAATTTGGATAGTGGGGTTAATTATAAATTTTTAAGAGAGGAAATACTTTTTTCATTTTGTATCATGATTACTATACTTATTTGTATATATTCTTTAACGGAATCGTACTTACATAAAATAATAAGGGAAATTATTGTGAGATCATAGTGTAGTTCTCACAAAAACTTACCTACCATGAAGTCCTACATGCAATACATAAACGTCATATTGAGGATAAAATATGAGATGAATAGAAGTAAAGAATAGATAGCACAGCCTATAAGAATTTTGGGTGAGCAATGCGACCGTTTCCTATCAACCGCTTGTTAGCTTCAACATTATTTCGTCATGCCCCAAAAAAAATTATACTTCTTTTATAACTAATTTCACTAATATATTATTACGTTATCAAGAAAATTACCTGTCCGAAGCCATTCCAAAAAACACGCTTCCTAACAAAGTACCTAATTGGAACAGCGTCTGTGAGAAACTGGTCTTCCATCTGTCTTTACATATTAGATTCCATTCTGATATCATTGTATTGGTAAAGATCGACGTGTCGTAAACTGGATCGGAGCATGGGCAAACGCCTTCTTCGCCTTCACAAGTGTATGGAGTTTTCGGAGCTAAGAATATAATAGCCATTTGATGGAAGGCTATTGGAATTTTGCTCATAAATATCAGAAGGCATAATAACAGCTGATATTTACCAAAGGCCCCAGTTATTTTTTGGATTAAATCTACGGTTGATTCTGATTGGAAACCTGAAAACAAAAAACACTAAATAAAGGGTGAGAAACCTATAAAACATAAATGTTAGCATTAAAAAGTTTCAAGATTCATGTATCAATAATAAAACAAATTAATATTGGACAACATAAAATACAATGCTCAGATCCCTAAATAAGTAGCTAAAACCTTTGAAATATGTTATATCTGAAACAAACGAAAGTACCTCAACATATAGACACGAGACATAAAAGTTTAATATCTACATTGACCCGACCAGACAATTTATTGTTATTCTTTTATAATACTTATTTATTATATTTCACCTGTTTTTAATACAATGATTTCTAACTGGCTACCAGTCGTAAGAGCAAACGATGCGATTTTGTTGTAAAGCACGATGACCATCATGCGGAGTCGCATTACTCTGGTAAAGCGATGACGCGTAACTAATTAGAATATTCAAAGGGGAAACCTGAAGGGTAAAGCTTTAATAGGAGGCACAGTCAGGAACAGTTTGGTACTAGGTTCTCAATCAGGCAATTCATTAGGTTCAAAACAATCACACTCGGTGTGATTAGTGGATAAGCGCCGCGGCCCGCGATCGTAGTCGTTAACCAACTTTCGCAAGGGTCGGTCACGGGATGGGTGACCAAAAAAATTATTATCTCGAGCTACTCCGTGCTTCGGAAGGCACGTTAAGCCGTTGGTCCCGGCTGCATTTGCAGTCGTTAATACCCTCCAATCCGCATTGGGCCAGTGTGGAGGGTCATGGCCCATCCTCCTTAACCATCCATAAGGAAGGCCTGAGCCCCTGCAGTGGGGACGTAAAAGGGCTGGTGATGAAAACAATTACACGAATCTTTACACTCGCGCGATGACTTATGAGCTGCAATCAGGACACTTTATAGATTAATCTCGAAGTACGCCGATCATCACATCACATCGTTTGTTCGTACGTTCGTAGCAAATAAAAACTATATTATTTTACTTTAAAATCAAAACATAACAAGTACATTTTAGTTTCATACTAGAATAAATTTTTGAGTATGATTTAATGCATGGAATTAGACATTTATGTATTTTTCATCTTTTATTATTAATGGCTTATCTGCGCGTTTCCCAATGCCAATGTCCAGTAATTAAACTATTTTCTATATGTAAAAAAATTACAATTATAGAATGTAAGATCTTCTTCTTTTTAATAATGGCGTTGGAATGAAAGATCGGCATTAATGTATGTATCTGAATCGGTTGACATTTTCACTGACAGACAGCTGACTTCAAGTTGACTTTGTTAACAAGTATTTAGGCCATAACAAAAGAAAAGTAAGTATGTTTTTTAAAACGTTTTAATCGAAAGTTATAAATTTAAAACGTCAAAAGAGTTACTGCTCTTAAAATATACATAATATATAGAAAGTGCAAGTTGGCATTAAACCTTAATAAACCTTTGTTCAATAAATTTATTGTACGCAATTTGAAAGTGTACATCTTGACATATTTATAACTAATTATAATATTATAACCATCCATAAGGAAAGCCTGAGCCCCTGCAGTGGGGACGTAAAAAAGGGCTGGTGATGATATGATAATATTTTTAACTTTAGTCAAAAGCAGATAGCGGTAAAGATATTTGTCATGGTATTCATTGACGCATCTGAAATAACATATCTAGAATAGAGAAGTAGAGTCTTTATTACATTACACAATTTACATATACAAATTTAAAATATGCATAATACCTAAATATACAGACACACATAAATACATACGCATATCTACACATATACACTTATATATATTATGCAATAACTGGAATAGTCGATAGTAGCAGGATATTTCATTGTGAAAAGTAGAATTCCTTTACGCTATTTATTAAAAATATGTATGGTATTTAATAGCTTGTTAATTCTGTATTCAAAAACCGAATAACACCAAGTCTCATAATGCATATAATTGTATGAGACCGAATTTCATACACAAAGTATACATAAGTATACAGCTACATAGGTATGTATAGTTATGTAGTTCGCAGTCAATTTAACCAATAAGAAATTGTTTAACCAGTAAGTTATTTTGTCCAGCTTTGAAAAACTCTAATGCTACTTAAATAACTAGGTAAGTTAATTTATGAGTTGCATTGTCAGTTGGCAAAATGAAAAAAATAAATTTCAATTTTGTTTTATTTTGAAGGGCCAACTGGTCCTACCACAACAAACTCGCCTTACCTAATAAAATCACCAAACAGATCGCATTTAACGGTTCACAAGCAAAGTAAAGAAAAAACTATATGTATATTCATAAACTAGCTGTTTTCCCAGGACTTCTTTGTATGACGTATCTTCCAGAGATAAAAGAATTTTCATGATCGGATTTCAGATAATTATATATAATACAAAATTTAAGACAGCATTCCTCTGATCCCAAATTAAGTAACTAAGCTCGGTAGTTAAGCACTAGGATTAAGGGATCCGATACAGTGGAATACCTCCAACACACAACACAGACCGGAGACAACATAGATAACTTCATTTTCTTGTGTGATTTGACCGGGAATCTAACAACCTGAAACTAGTTTCTGTAAAAAGTACCTATATGTATCTTAATTGAAAAAACGGGCAACGTGGTAATGTTTTAAAAAATATCTAAGTCTTTAGTGTGTTATACATTTGATTAGAAATTATTACAAACATTTTTTCTTCAAATATGGATATGGGCAAGCACGTTACGCAAATCATCTGTAAGTTACATAATGATCAGAATGCTAAGAATGTTACAAACTATTAGAAGAAAAACAGATAGATCACTTATCTTCACAACATAAGTGTATCTCAATTCATGTTTTCAATTGCTTGTCATGTTGAAGGTCGGCACGTACCTTGCTATACTACAAACTACAATGAGAAATGTATGACATCCGTTTACAGAATCACAAGATTTATCCAATAAGTAAAATAAACAAATTGCGAAAACATTTTACGTTCGCCACACAAGCTGGGTGATGTGGAATTCATCAGATCATTTGACCCGGCAGGGATATTTTTTTAATAATCCTAATTCAAAAAGTCTTAATAAAGAAAAACAACTGAAAAGAGGGAAATAATACCACAAAACTTACACACAACCTGAAGGTGAACTAACCGTTTCTCTTTGCTCCTGAACCGAATTACCATTCACCTTAAACAACTAAAAATCACAAATCTGTTAACTAACTTCAGAATCGAAAACGGAGAATGGACTAGATTCACCATGCGAGCACAGAGTGGATTAGTTGATGTTACCGTTGGCACAGGCGTGACCAAAGACTTAACGTGCCTTCTGAATTACAGAGATAACTTATGATCCGCCCTTGTGATTACAGACCTAACGCACTAACCATTGCGCTAGGAAGTTAGATAGATAGGACTATAGGTAACGTAGATTTGTCATTATTATTGAATTTCGTATATTTTATTTCTGTTGCTGCCGATGAATTCGGTCTTAGTGATTTTGATTTCGCATTTCGCATTTCGCATTTCGCAAGTCGCATGGTCGCATGGTCGATCCCACGCCCAGAATGTTTACTAATAATAAACAATTATATCCACGGTTTCCGTAAGACCCAGGTGATACTGTATAAATAGTATTATAAACTAGTTTACTTTACAATAAAAATGCATTTTTAAAAGCACAATGATATAACTCTTTTTTAAGTTATTTTATATTATACTAGCTGTGCCCGCAACTTCGTCTGCGTGGGAAGTATTTTGGTAGAATTCTTTTATTCCTATGAATGGAGTCGAATCGAATAAGATCAATGGGCCATAACCCACTGTGCTTAATGCGGATCGGTGGGTGTTCACGTTGCTGATGCAGCCAGGACTAACCGCTTAACGTGCATTGTGCCAGTGCTGTGCACAGTGCTCAAGATAATAATGTTTTGGTCACCCATCCTGTCCTTACGAATGTAATTTTTATATCTTTTTTCTCGTTTCTCGCGCTCTGGTTGTCGTTTGTGTCTGAGATTTTTATTCGTACCTTGAAACTGTCCTTCTTTTGTTTTGATATTTTTAAATTATTATTATTTGTCTAGTTGTATGCCCAATCGGCTATTTATTGTTCTATTTTCCATGTAATGCTAGGTTGTCTGGAAGGAATCGCTGGCAAGCGATGAGGTTTGTCGTTTGTACTAAGTTATGTAAAATAAGTATTCAAGTATGTCGTTGTTTATTTCACTGCAATTTAAACCGAATGTTTTAACCCACTACGCCACCCTACCTCTTATACCTAAGATATACTTATATTATAAAGACGAAAGATTTGGTTGTTTGTTTGTTTGCATCGAATTTGCCCCAAAACTACTGGACCGATAGTTTAAGAGCGATTCTACCTACGCGAAGCTACATCACGGATGTCATAGGCTATAATTTTGCGGCAAAGTTGCGGGAAAACAGCCAGTTCATTATACCTTGTGAAAACTTATCTGCGGTACGCCTGTGGAGTATGAAGCCAACACGGATTGGCGATAATCGAAACTACTTTCTCGATCTCTATTGTGCAAACTGCGAGCTCTTTCAGAGACCAAGCGCATTTCTCTATCAAAGGAAGTTTCATACTCATACCATACTGTATGTATGTTACGGTTAGCAGTTAGACGCGCTATGTGATCTTCAGAAGTTTCCTGAGATCAAACGCTTTTATAGTGCATGAGCCTCTCGATGTGTAGTTAAATACGTTTCGCGTTATTCAGGTGTCTCCCTAGACCGAACGCTTTCCGTCAAATCTCTTTCTTTGTCAATAAAAGTCGGTCGGTACATGTCTGACTGAAGATACGTTGAGTTTTATTTATTAATGATAATATATACATATTTTAATTTCGTCTTTCCACACTCGAAGGAAATCGTCTACTACCGAGAGGTGCTTGACTGAGCTTCCGTCAGATTTGAACGGCCCTCATCATCATCATCAGCCGTTTTACGTCACCAACAGCAGGAGCCTTTTGGATTAAGGAGGATGGGCCACGACCTTCCATGCTGGCCCAATGCGAATTGGA